ATGCAACTATTCCAAATGAATAAATATCAGAAGCTTGTGTATATGGCTTTCCTCTTAAAATTTCAGGTGCCACGTAAGGCAGTACTCCATAAATTATTTTGTCATCATTTGCACTTTCAATTGGTCTACATAATCCCAAATCAGTGATATAGCAACCAATGTTCTTCATTGCTCTGAATTTTTTTTTATTTTCATAACGCAACACATTGCTTTGTTTATTTAGTATATTACCCGGATGAAAATCTCTGTGAATTAGTCCCTCTAAATGAATGTTGTATAGTCCATTTGCCATTGTGTATAACTGTCCAAGTTTGTCACCAAAAGATAATTGGCTATGGTTGCTATTTAAATATTGTCTTAGGTTACCACCTTCAAAATAATGCGTTACCATTAGATAATTACTCGTTACGGGGTCTTGAGAAATTCCATAACATTGACTAACGTAAATAACATGTTTATGGTCAAATAATCGATAATTAATGATTTCTCGTAAGACATCAGCCGTTAGATCTTTAGAATTATTTAAGCACTTTAAAGCAACATTTTTAGATTTCCATCTGGCTTTAAATACAACACCAAATCCTCCCTCGGCAAGATACTCAATATTGGAGAATTTTTTTGTAAGGTATCCATCTTACTCCATTTTCTCGAATAAATTTACTTATTTCTAGACTGTCATTCATCGAATATTTAGAGGCCATTGCAGCATTGTTAGACGTTTGTTGTGAAGCGCAATGTGTAAAAATTATTTAAGCAGACTTTAAATAAACTCAGTTTGTGTAATTATTTATAGTCATTTCTAGCACAGTCATCAAATCATCAAATCATCAATCAATCAATCAATCAATCAATCAAAATATAATAAAATTACGGCTGTCCTGTCCGCACCAAAGCACTTGATTGGTCAGAACTAAATCCTTACGTAAGTGTATGGTTCATGAGCATGACTCATGACTTCGAATCGTCAGTAACAGGTAAAGATTGTCAGTACGTGGGAAAATGGCGATAATCAACATTATTGGTGACATGTAATATTATCGTTATTACTAAAAATGAAATTAGATGAAAATCACCATGCCAATGCCTGTTTTAGTAATTGTAATTATAAATTATAAATCCAATGAGAAAAAATTTGTTCCACATGTCCGTATAGTACAGGCAACTGATAAACTATACTATACTGATCCGGCATGATATATATGTACATATTAGGGTCAGAAATTATAGCTAATTAATCGGTATGATACAGTTTTTAAAAAAAATTGTGCCTATACTATACAGATCTACCATATCGATTCGCTATAATTTCATTTGAGTTAACAAAAGTCAACAGATCAAAAAAAGCGTTAAGCAAGGTAATTTACCCTGTGAAAATAGCAACGGGAACAGGACTAATCCCGCATAATCAAGATTACGGATGAGTATGATTCTAAATGACCTTCCGTATATAGGGGATGGCTAAAGCCATATACCCACGTGATTTTGACGTCTTAATCATTTAAATTGAAATTAAGGTTAGGATTAGGGTTAGTTTGGTGTTGATATAAGAAGAGAAGTATAGGTAAAATTGCCTTCCCGACATTTTAATTATTGCCCCAAGATAGGTTAAGACTGTCGTTTTTCGTCTTTTTGCATTTTCTTTATTTTTTGATTTCTTCGTGCTGATCCGTGTAAACAAAATTTCGCAATTCCGGTTGGTTGATTTGCACAAAAAAATCACGTGAGTACATGGCTTTAGACGACCCCGTATATAGTAATTCTGTCTTAATAATGGATACTGTGAGAAAAAGCTGATTCTGAGGAAGATGCAGTTTTGATGCCACATTATCCATCATCTCTCCCAAAGAAATCTGCTATTTTATTATAGATACTGAATATAATATCACATGGCCATGTTTATAGCCCATCACTAAGAGTAACAATCTAGCATTTTATTAGTTTTGGGTACATATTGTTAGTAAATTGTTACCCAGCGTGATGTAGGTGGGGAATAGTTTTCGAGAAAATGAGACGTAACCTATTTGACATATATTAAATAATTTGTTGATACAAGTAATGCAATAGGGGCGCCGGTGGCACCCCACTTCGCTTGTATAATATATTCTTATATTGTAATACCTTTTATGCTTAACGGAACTAAGATATCAGTGAAAATAACTAAATATCAATATTTATTTAGTACTACTAAATAAGAGTAGCTGAGCAGCGCGTGACGCCGCGCAGAACCAGTACGATCACTTGTAGAGTTAATTTGTTCTTGTTAATTCGTGTTATATATATTATTGTTTGTTTTTATTTGCAATGTTAGAAAATTTTTGGATTAATATTATGTATTATGTTTGTGAAGTATTTTTTATCAGTACGTAGTTTAAGGGCAGTTTTGTGTAAGATTCAGAGGTACGATATATTTATTATTATTTTGTTAATTGTCACATAGATGTTACATGGTGTATATTGGTATTTCGTTTACATTAGTTTTTAATTTTGAATATGTATTGTTCATTACAGAATGTTTTACGGTTAGGCAAGACCGATTTAATTTGGTGGTTTACGTTATATTTCTTTTACGAGAGGAGATGAGTTGAATAAATGGAAGGTATACTTATTAAAGCACTTAGAAGATTACTTCATGTGTAACTGTTGATCAGTTATGTGTTTGGTAGGGTTGCTAATGGGTTGGTTTGGGTGGGTTGGGTTGAGCTATTCCTCATCCCAATTCAGCTTGTGTTGGACTCACTCTGGGGCCACTACAGATTTGCTTACAGTTTCACTTCGGCATATTTTTAACCCACTCCAGCTTGGGTTGGGTTCACTCCAGAACTGCTCCGGAGTATGCCACTTCATTAACAACCCTAATGTTTGGAATTGATTGCCGTAAAATGTAAGAATGAACTAGAAAGTCTTTTCTTGTTAATGTGAATAAAATGGAATCAGATAAGAAACATTCATGTACATGAATAGATTATTTAAATGCTTTTTATACCCGCCAAAATTAATACGAATAATAAAAAATTAAATACAAAGATTACGTAAATAATAATACATTCTCTACAGAAAAGTATTCGCCTTACCTTAAATTATCTGAGTTAAACATGATCTTTAGTTTAATAAAAAGTGTAACAGTAATTAGAATCAATTTTATTGATCAGTAAGGAATGTAGTTAAATAAGAAATTGTGAAAGTCATTAAAAGACATATAGACCTACTTGTAATTAAATCTGATGCATTTATCTTGAAATTAAATATAGGTCTTAATAAATTTTGCTTTGTTTTTTTGCTTTTGCTTCGTTTTTTATATAAGACAATCAATTTCTAAAGTAGTATTTATATCTGAAACTGTAAATTCATATAGGGTAGTTCAAAACTTGTCGTCGGATTGGCATATTATTAGATACAGAAGAGGATATAAATGGATGTTATGAAAGAAAAGTCCGGAAATCTTATTGAATATTTTATCACGAAATGATTGTCCATTTTCATATTTTTCATTAAAAGAGCCGCAAAGAACTTTCTCACATTGAATTTTGTCATATTAATAAAGAAGTTTTGTTTCGGTTGCCATTCGCATATACGTATCAAAATTATTGAGATGCAGATGACATTTTTGGCACTGCTCACATATAGTAAGCAGTAAGCATGATACTAAACATGTAAAAATGCATTATACAATATACAAATTTGTGGATTTCAATCAAGAGTTAAAATTTTACGTGTCTTTGTTATATGGGCTAGACGTTAGATAAGATTTCAACGTTGTCTCTTTGCATCATTCATATTTGCTATTGACACTAATTCAAATCCACAAAACCTTATAAATACAACACGAGTCCAACAAAAAATTCAATAAAATTTTGGGGAGCTGTGGCAGAACTACAGTAGTACTGGTACATACAGTCAAACCCCTCTATAGTAACCTCCTCTATAGTCACAAAATTGGTATAATTACAAATTTATTTTTACTAATTATTTTATAGCTATATAGAAAATACCTCTATATTAGTCACGCCTCTTTACAATCACGGTTTTTTGTATCCCGAAGGTGTGACTATAGAGGGGTTTGACTGTACAATGCAATAAAACAATGATAAATTCCTTTTTGCGACTCACGATTAATACAAAAATATACGTAAAATATCAATGTAAATATAATGGGTCAAATAAATTGGAAAATATTTGGAAAACAAATACCAAACAACTGATGTCATAATGGTGTTAAAATTAAATAGATTAACATCCGTAAAAGTACCAATTCAAATACGACTATACAATCAAATTTAACTCGAGCGTTTCTCTAATGGTTTTGCACAACTCATTAAAACTGAATTCGATTATGTCAGAATTAAAGTTGAAGCCAAAATTTTAAGTTACATTCTTTAATTTATATCAGCGTTCATCATTTTTTCGTCAACCCAACTAAAAAGAATAATATTATCGAAATCACTCTAACTTACAGTTTTATCGAAGCTTTTAAAATATTAATCAAGTTATTTATTTAATAATGAAACTTAATTATAATTGGAAATTCACCGGCGTATATACATATGTATATTTTATTATCGCAAGATGCCATATCAAAAGTTTAAATTTAGAATTATGATTCAATAACTTGTGCTATTTTTTGAACAACATGCCGGTGAACTTTATATTGATGATCTAAAATTATTTTTGCAGTTAATTTACTAATTAAAGATCTTTTAAATTAGACATATTTATTGTGATAATTCCATTAGAAAATGTTGATCCATCTATTTTATTTGATCCTTTAGTGTCTTCCAACAAATTTTGTTGAGTTAGTTTAATAGACATAGTCTTATTTTATCGATAACCTTGTCTCCGATTAAAATTTACACATATTTACTCTATCTGTTTTCGAGATAACAATTTTAAAACCCTATAAACTTTTTACACCAATATCCTAGCAAAGCATCCTAACTGGTTTTTGACTCTGATAATTTACTTCTAGTCATGAAGATGCGTTAATAACTCTTTAAAACGTGATAATTTACAAATTGAAAAATCTGAGATTTGTGATAAGGTTATTAAAATTCTGTATAGTATGGAGAGATTATTAATGCTATTAGGGCTTATTATATAATGGAGAAATTACTAAAATATTTTTAAGCAAAAGAAAACATTTGGATTATAATTTGGTATAATATTTAGGGTTTTATAATTTAATTTATTAAAAACATAAAATAATTGGTAGCGGTATATTATTACAGTGCCTGTTATATCTAATTATTTAGTTCACTAAAACTGAATAATTTCTACTTTTTATAATAGGAATAAGCCTTATTATTATTCGCAAAGCCTTTTCAAGTTCCCAATGAATTAATTAAAAACCTTCAAGTAATTAAGCATCGCTAAAAATTTACATACTGTATAGTTTTGCAAAATAATAAATATAAAATTAATTTTAATAGTCTAGCTCAAAAGCTTGAAAAAAAATGGCTTCCGGACAAAATTAGTCGCCTTAAATGTTCGCTAAGTATTTATAATTGCTAAAATGTTTAAAGAGTAAAAATTAGAAATCAACAAACAATCAAGTAAATTTTCTAAAAATATTATGAAATTTTCTTAATATAAAAATTTACTATTTATTTTCTATAAATAATATAAATAATACACAGTTACTTGAACACACTAATAATAAGATTAATGCAACAGACTTGGTGTAATTTTGCAGGAAACTAAGTAGAAA